ACAGTGTAGGATAAGACAAAATAATAATGATTTATAAATTATCAAGGGTTCATGAGGGAGGAGGAACAGGGAGAGAGGGAGAAAAAATGATGAGCTGATAACAAGGGCTCAAGTGGAAAGCAAATGTTTTGAGAATGATGAGGGCAACAAATGTACAAGTATGCTTAACCTAATGGATGGATGTGTGGATTGTGATAAGAGTTGTATGAGCCCCCAATAAAATGATTTTTAAAAATAAAAATAATTTTAAAAAAGATGTAGTCTTGGCAACGTGCAGCGGGCAGTTCCACCCTGTCCTGCAGGGCGCTGTGAGTCAGCAGTGACTGCATGGAAGTGAGAAAGTCCCTGTGCGGTGCTTTGCTTTAGGACCTCTAGAAAACAGATGAGAACCAGCTGATACAGTCTAAAGGAAAAATATGCCAAGAGAATAGGTAAAAGTATAAATTTAAGGGGCTTTAAAAGTTTGTAGAAAAATGAAAACATAATGAAATTTCCCCTGATATTTTTAAAGTCCCCTCATAAGCACTAGAGAGCACAAATTTAAAAAAAAAATTAAAGCAAATAAAATAGCCCACATAGTGACAGACTTAAATGAGGAGACCTCAAAAAGTATGTGGAAATTCTGAATTAAAATATAATGGAATCCCACAAACTTTTGAAGTCTTCTTATGAAATTTATAAAATGATAGAATACCAAACATATCAGTAAGTATAAATGGGCTTAACAGTTAGGGGTAAAAAGGTATTCTAATTGGATCATAAGACAAACTCAACTGTTTTAAAACATGCCCTGGAGTTCCTGATGCTCCCCTCATGATAAGGCAGAGTTACCGAGTTTCTTTGCCTCGAGACTGGGTCAGACTTGGTGACAGCCCCCCGCCCCGAACAAAACAGAAGGACACTGGAACTTTTTAGACTACTTTAGAAAAGCATATAAAAGAGTCAAGCAGTTTCTCTTGGGACACTAGTTTTCAGAAACCACGTGACAGTGCAACTGTCTTGAACCTGTTGTGTGGAAAGACCACAGAGAAAGACCACATAGAGCAGTGGTTCTCAACCTGTGGGTCTCGACCCCTTTGGGGGTCGAAAGACCTTTCACAGGGGTTGCCTGATTCATAACAGTAGCAAAATGAGTTATGAAGTAGCAATGAAAATAATTTTATGGTTGGGGGGGGTCACCACACATGAGGAACTGTATTAAAGGGTCGCGGCACTAGGAAGGTTGAGAACCACTGGCCTAGAGAGATGTTCAAGGGGTCCTAGGTTTTCCACCCATACATGGTTGTCTTCTACTCCAGGCATCACTCATGTGCATGAAGAAGCCTTTGAGCTGGCCTCAGCGCTGGCCACTGACTCCAACTACCGTGCCAAACTGCCAGAGAGAACTATCTTGGTTTTTGAGTAAAATAAACAATTGTCATGGTTTCAAGTCATTGTTTTGGGGATGATTTTAATGCAACGCCAAAACAGCCTGAAGTTCAGGACCATCATCCTGGGTGTCATCAAGGGTGTCATCAAGGTCAATATTCATAACATAGTCCACATCTTACTTTGGTGACTAGCAATTGAGATTTTAAAAGCTTGTGATTTATCATCTAAGATGCAAGTATTGGTCTCGCCTATCCAGAGCAAAGAAGAGAGAAGAAAATCATAGACATGTGGAAACAATTAGTCCAAATGATTAGTGGACCACATGAACACTAACCCCAAAACAAGAAGAACTAGAGGGTGCCAGCTACGAGTACCAACTGCTCTGAGACACAATAGGAGGTTCTGTATAGAGTGGGGAAAATGTGGAGATTCAACATCATAAAAAAAACATAAGGTTTATTGATCTGATTAGTGGAGTCCCCAAAACAATGGACCTTAGACACCTGTCTTAGTTATGCAGTGCTGAACAACAGAAGTACCACACGTGGATGGCTTGAAGAAACAAATTTATTTTCTCAGTTCTAGGAGGTTAGCAGTACAAATTTACTGTCCTGGCTCTAGGAGATGGCTTTCCCTCTGTTGGCTCTAGGGAAAGACTCCTTGTCTCTTTGCAACATCTGGGGACCAGCAACCCTTGGAGATCTCCGGGTATCTTGGTGTTGCAGACCACACCCAGGGAAACTCCCCTTTGCAGGGGATCAGGACTGTGATGAATTAAGGGAGCTGCATCTCACCCCAGTTTTCTTGGTTTATCACAGCAGATCACATTATGGGAGATCATCACTTAACTGTCACATTACATCATTATCAAATAACTGCTAAACCACTGAGAATCATGGCCCAGCAAAGTTGACACATATTTTGGGGGACACAGTTCAATTTATGGCAACACTGTCCAAACTTAGAACTGAACTTACCCCCATGGCCCAAAATTCAGCCAAACACTGAACTAGCTATAAGATGAACAATAACATCAGTGAAGTACATGCTACTTATAATAATCAATTATTTGAAAACAATAGCATAGCACTGCTCAGTGATAAAACTCAAACGGCGGGAATGAATGAGAAACAAGGACAAATGGAAATGGTAACCATAGAAGAGGGAGATTGCAATGAAAGTCATAAAACAAAATGTATGTGAATCATTGAGGAGAAAACCAACTTGCTTTGTAACCTCTTCACCCAAATCATAGCAAAAAACTAACCAGAACAATATTATACATAAGAAAAATGCCTAAAGCAAAACTATTCTAAAAATATTCCAAATAAAAGGATGGCAAAAGTATAGAACTCTCAAAAACCTCACTGCCATTGATCTCTGCCAGCTCACTGCAGCCCTGTAGGGCGGGTAAAAGGCTTTGGAGACTGCAACTCTTTATGGGAGTCGAAAGCCCGGCCTTTCCCCCACAGAGGCTGGTGGTTTCAAACTGCTAGACCTCACGGAGCACAGCCCAACGCATAACCACTATGCCACTAGGGTACCTAAAAGTATACTAGGCAAATGTAAATAAAAAGACAGTCGAGTTCACAACCTTATTATCAGACAATAAGGAATTAAAGTCCAAACACATTATTAAAAAGGAGGTACCTTTATGGTGTTAATGATAAACATACACAACTGAGATAACTGCAATAAATACAGGGCATCAAATAACACAGTAGCAATTTTCATAAAGCAAATGACAGGAGATATATGGAAATAAATCCTCCTATTATTGTTTCTGATTGCCTGTTCTCATTTGCATTCAAAATAGGGCAAATAAATAAAATAAATTAAGGCATAAAAAGCCTTAATATTATACTCAGTAAAGAAGATCTGATGAATACATATCAAAGCGTATGCTTTGATAATAAAGAATATACCTAGTTTTCAAATGCTCATAGATTCATGAGAAAATACATATTAAACCTCAAAACTCTATAATTCAAAAATATATAGATAATATTCTCAATGCAATAAAAGTGGGGCATAATAAAATCAAAGAACAGAAGGACCTTCTATCTTACAATTTTTGTCTTGTAATTTTAAAATGTAAATTTGTCAATAATTATAAAAACATAAATGAACTAAATATTTTCATAATAAGTGATGCCTATTATATATCACGCAGAGACTGTAATTTAATTGATGTGGCTTTTGGATGATTTCAATGGCAGACATATTTTAGAGTCACTACAAAAGAGACCAATAAGTGTTTTTTTCTTGTGTGTGTGTGTGTGTGTGTGTGTGTGTGTGTGTGGTGTTAAGTGTAGGAGCATGGTGAATGGGAACAAGGGTGAGAGGTAGGGTGTTCACTGTATAACTTTTTAATACTACTTCAAAAATTTAACCATGTGAATATATGATCTATTCAGAAATTTTATTAACAAATTAAAAAATAGTTGCTTTTACCATATTCACTTTTGTCAGTTTTTATCAATGCTCCTGAAATTCCATGACCATCATCATTAAAAAGTTTGTAATTACGAGGTGGTTTCAAAAAGTAGGTGGAAAAGCAGAATCAGATGGTAATGAAGTCTCCCCATGAACTCAGACGCTCAAGTTCTCAGTACTTTGGCCAAAGCTAACTGTAGTAAATGAGATGATTATTTTACTGCATTACCTGTCCTTATATACCCAGCAAGAAAGTTTATCACGTGGCGTAGGTGGCTGTCCTTCAAATTTGGTGATTTTTTCCCAAACATATGTTCCATCTCTTGTTTGCAAATTAACAAAATAAAGCTTTTAAAAGAGGAGAACACTATTAGCAGATAAGGTATTGGCTTGTTATCAGAAGGATTTGTCCTTCCAAATCAGCAATACTACTTTTGTCTTTTTTAATTGGTCTAAAAAAACTTAATTGAATTAATGAAAATACACCTTATTTTAGAAGCACAAATTATATATAAAACATGCTAAAATGGATCTTCTCCCATCCTGGATATCATCTGAGTATATAGTTAATTCTGAAGAAGAAATACATGGGCAAAGAGAAACACAAAACTGTATTTTCATAAAATATAAAATTTTAGATTTACTATATATCTTCCTAAAAGATTTGTAATGTTGTGAGAGGAAGTGATTCAATAAAGATTACATTTTGCTGCATTCTTGAATTAAAAGAAAATATTACTCGATTGCTGTATCCTTTGTCATCATATCCTCCAAAAACGTACAGCTTCCCATTAATGTAAGCACCACAACTTCCTGACATAGAGGTAGGGAGTTCTCCTTCCATTAGGTGCATTGTCCTGCAGCAAAAACAACATGGAATCCCATAACTTTCCAGTCAAGCAATTCAAAATGTCCCTTGAACTCTGCAAGTACTCTTTCAATGCTGTCACTGCCAATCATTGAATCTGAATGTAATGGTATGCCAATTCTATGAAAATCTAAGAAGATCCATGGTAAAGACTTTCCAACCTGCTTGGGGAGAAAAAAATCACACGTTACTAGAACTGGGAATTGGTAGAATTAAAGCAAAGTCTTCAGATAGCACCGGTCTTGAAAAGCATGACAAGGACAAAGAATTGAAAGGGTGAAGGAGTTAGGAGAGAGAACCACAGAGAAGGAAGCAGTGCAGGCAAAGGAAGACTGAATAAATGTTGCAGCATGTTCTCAACATGGTCTTAAATTACCTGTAGTCTATAAAGTGTTTATTACAGATGTCAAGATTGTGCATTCCACAATTTAAATTACTTACCACAACCCACTATCAATGTCATAGGTCCAAATTTCATCATTAGGCAAATATACTTCATTGTCTTCAATAGACTAAAAGCATAAAATATATAAAAATGTGATTACCAATTATATAGCAATGATAACATAGTTTTTATCAGGACAGGAAACTACAATTAAAAATTTTTAAAGCATGTCATAATCAGCAATATACTTAAAACTGGTTTTGTTTTGTCAGTTTTTTTCCCCAATAAAAAGATGTATAGATCAAAAGTGAAACGAAGAAAGACAGAAAGGCATTTTCAAAAAGAAAATGAACAAACAAGGTCTAGAACACAAAATACCAAGTTCATTAGTCTCTCCCTTCCAAAAATATGGGGCAGTGAAATCTAAAAAGGGATTCCAAGTAAGGAAAAAGTAAAAAATAGTATTTAAAACAGAACATTGAAGATTATAAGAAAGAAAATAAAACAGTAACAGCAACAACAAATCCAAACTCATTGCCATCAAGTCAGTCTGACTGATATCAACCCTATAGGCAGGGTAGAGCTGCTGTGGGCTTCCAAAAGGAACTCTTTACTGGGGTAGAATCCTCTTCTTTCTCCTGCAGAACAGATGGTGGTTTCAAACTGCTGACCTTGCGGAATAGACCCAACACGTAACCCATTATGCCACCAGGGAGTCAACGTTTTCAATGAAGGTAATGAATTGTACATGTTTCAAGATACCCTTGTTTTATGAACATCTTTTTGAGTGCCTACTATGTGCAAGGTACCCATTACATAATAAATTTAAGGATTGAAATTTCAGTGAAAATGAAAACTTGGAATAATCTCTAAAGTAATTGATAACATAAAAGAGTTGTGAACTATTTTCAACAGTTAAGATAAAAAGAGAACTAAGAATGTAATAGAAGCTTATCAAATTGAAAATTTTAGGAGTTAAAGTAAATCATTACATCAATCTGTCGTTTCTTAGAATTTATAATCCCAAAATACTTTTTAATAGCAGTTAAACAATTTCTAAGACTATATGATCCATGAATTATTAACATGTTATATAGATTTGGCTAATTCCCTCTTGGTTAAAGGAGCCCTAGTGGTGTAGTTATATGTTGGGCTGCTAAGTGCAAGGTCAGCAGTTCGAAACTACCAAGGGAGAAAGGTGAGGTTTTCTATTCCTGCAAAGAGTTAGTCTTGGAAATGCACAGTAGTTCTACCCTGCCCCACAGGGTTGCTATGAGTCAGAACTGATTAAGTAAAAGTGAGTTATATTAAATTTATTTTAGGTATCTTGATTGCCAGGTGTCTGATGTGTCTGTCTTCTCGCCACACTGTCCCATCCACATCCACACACATTCACACATATATGTGTACATGTAGAAAATAAATCGCATGGTCTTTATCACGCATATCTGATAGAAAAGTCCAAATAAGATTGTAGTAAACAATCATAGGAAAGAAAATTACATGATTCTTTAATGGCATTAGGCTCTAACAGCCTCCTCTGTCTACCCAGAAATACTATGAAAATGGATTCCCACCCCCTACAATTCTTCTTAAGGCCCTTCAACAATGCCCTACTTTTCTGAGATTAAGACTCTCATGGTTATGTACTATGATACCTGCTGCCTCCCCAAGCATCATCTCCTTTCACTCATTAAACTCTCCTCTTTCAGTTCCCAATGTTCTTCATGGCAACGGTGTTCATCCATGTTCTTCTCTTTTTGGAACGCTCTTTCAGAATTTTCCTGGCTAACTCCTTCCTGGGAACAATTTAGATGGTACTTTTCTAATCCTTCAAAACAGATTAAGGAATCAAGGGAGCTTGTTAAATGTTCTCCCCCTTGGAGGCCTTCTGTCTCTATTGCACCCTCTCACCATTACCACTAACTGCCTAGCTTCACGAGTGCAAGGATCGTGCCTCTCCTGTTTACAGTTATGTTCCCAGTGCCGAGCACAGTACCTGCGCATAAAAGGAAAGTTGAGTACTGCTGAATGAATCCGTGAATAACATCTATGAAACTGACTGTATAACTCACCTCAGCTTGATAATAAAAAAGTCCTTTCATTACTTTGTCAAAGGGATGGTACAAAACACAAATGAAGCAGAGGACTGAAAAGATGGAACCTTATTCCTTTCTCACTTTACTAGAAACTTCATTCCTAAATTAACCCATTTTTCTACATCAAGTTTTCCTTCCCACCCCACTCCCAAGTCATCTTAAAAACAAAAAACAACTCTTCCAACTTCTCCTGTTTCTCTTCTCCCTTCACAACTAAATTTGTATCAAGGCAGTTATAGCAGATGGATCCAATGCTCTATTTCTCATTCTCCCATCAGCTCAGTCTAATCTTGACTTTGAAATTCATCATTCCACTAAAACTTTGCCTTTCAAGGTTACCACCGGAAGAGGATAAGTAACTGAAGAATTAAAAAATGTGGTCCAGAGATCTGGAACATGAGAAAAGGTTTAAAAACTTAGAATAGGTGTGAAAAGAACTAAGTTTACTCCGAATTACATTAGGCAATAATAGAGAGAATGGAGATGAACCAGTATCATTCCAAAATAAAGTCATGTATTATTTAAGGATATGCATAATCCTCAAACATGCATAATGTAAGAATAATAAACAAAATATCCAGGATAATGGTAATGTGTGTGAAGGAAGACTGTAATCAGTAAATGATACGCTTAATGCTTCCAAAGTACTGCGTACATCAAATTTCTGAATTCAGGAGGTTAAATTCCATTTTAAACTATACTTGTTTCTCATATTCTTTTGAACCTACATTTCAGATTTTTAAATGAATAAAAATTTAATAAACAAAATTAGCATTATGTCCCTCACAGGGAGACTGGAGAACCGGACTCTCATCTACGTAACAAAGAACAAGGTCTGAAATTGTGGTAGTGAACGGTCAGTCGAGTGAGGAAGCTGCTGTCGTGACTGGTGAGTGTCAGTCACACTTGCAGTCTGAAGCAGAGCCCTCAAGAAGCTTCATTGTCCTACAAACTCTATCAGGGGTTAAGAAAGAAACCTCTGTGGCTATTGATTTTTTTTTATAACTTTACTCCTGAAACAAATCTAACATAGATGCCTCTCAACAAAGTCTAGGTCACCTGCCTATGACTTATCTGCAAGCAAGGCTGGAAAAGTGAGTATCAGACATCCGGCTTCTTTTTATTGAGTACCTATTATGAGCTATATATGAGAGTTCTTTTTTTTATGAAATCATTTTATCAGGGGCTCATACAACTCTTATCAAAATCCATACATACATCAATTGTGTGAAGCACATTTGTATATTCATTGCCCTCATTATTCTCAAAACATTTGCTCTCCACTATATGAGAGTTCTTAAGGTGAGGATTATCACAAAATGAGGAATGAGGTTCGGAGTCTAGACATTTAAAACAACTGTCTTCCACATGATATAGTTGGTCTGTAAATTTATGAATATACCAAGTCTAGTTATTATGTTAAGGAAAGTTCCTGGGCACCAGTTAGTTCTTGAAAACTAACCTAACACTGGCAGCTCGAACTCACCAAGACAAAGATCTGGCAATCCTCTTGCATAAAAATTTGTTAGCTGCCACTGAGATGACTCAGAAACACCTTGTGAGGGCTAAAATCTTTATAGGAGCAGATTCACCAGGTCTTTATTGTGCAGAGAAGTGCTGTGTGAGTTCAAACCACCAGTCTATTGGCTGATAGACAAACACTTAACCATTGCACAAATAGCCAAGAAAACTCTATGGAGCAGACCTACTCTGTTAACCTATGGGTCAGAATGGACGCCAGGTTTTTCCACTGCTTCTGATTACACTAAGAATAATACATAGGCTTTTGTATATATTGTTACATTTTCCCTCAAAAATGTTCTCCATTTGTCCATTGGTAGTGTATGAATTTAATCCCCCCCCCTGCTTTACCTAATCCTACTTCTTTGTAATCTGCAAATTTCAGAAGAAAAATCATACTGTTTTAAACTGGGTTTATTTGATTCACATTATACATATCCACTGGTCTTTTTTCAATGGGAATATAGGCAATCCCTGACTTAAGACAGAATCCTGTTATAACTCTAGTTACAACTATTTGTTTGTTTGTCTTAGGAGGTGGGTATATCTTATCATTAACAATATATACTACATAAAGTGTTGCAGAACATAATTTTTTGATGTTATTCTCAGATGTTCACTTACAGATGCTCAAGGTTGTTATTTATAAAGATACTACTAATAAAAGGCATTGTAATAATGAAAACTTTAAATTAGAAAATGAAGTATTTTACCTACATCAGAACTAATTTCTAAAAGAGTCCTCTAAATGGAACCTGATTCTAAATTGGGGATTATCTATAATCAACCTTTTTTTTTTTAACTGGGGGCCCATACAACTCTTATCACAGTCCATCCATCCATCCATTGTGCAAAGCACATTTGTTGCCCTCATCATTCTCAAAGCATTTGCTTTCTACTTGAGCCCTTGGTATCAGCTCATTTTTCCCCTCCCTCATGAACCCTTGATAATTTATTTATTTTACACTGTCCGATGTCTCCCTTCACTTTTCTGTTGTCCATCCCCCAGGGAGGATGCCATATGTAGATCCTT